CTTTTGTATTGACACATAGTACGATTGAATCTGTAGAAACTGAGGCCGATGAATAGTATATGAATGATTACCTCAGAATTTCGTTTACTACTATGGGGTTAACGTACGAAATTGCCTTGTATTTCTGCTATACTTTGGATAACCTGGACTAACTGTAATGGATGACTCGGGAGTGAGTAAATCAAGTCTCTGTGACTTAATAACGGGAAACAGTGTGAATCTATGGCCTTGATAAGTACTTGATATAAGTAATGAGAGTAATAACTTAATAAAGTTATGTCCAACTGTATTTATTTTCTGTGTGACAAAATAAGTTTTGTTTTCTAAAATACTATATGCTGTATGCTGAATGATTGTCCAATTTATGATATGTATTCGTGACATCCTCAGCATCATATAATATGCGTCCCTTTATGGGTCATCAGGTCCCTTTATGGGTCATCAGATTTGTTAGTGCTAATGAATGCACCGCATATGTTTAAGTAAGAATTGTGACATCTGTGTATGATCTGGACAAGAATGTGAATATGAACATGTATATGAATCTGTTTCTGATTAAAATCTGAATGCGTATAAGACTCTGTTTTAATACGAACCCTAATTTCTGTATATGATTTGTATTCTGTTTCTGTGCGAAGTTAAGGTCGAGATTGGGTTATGAGCATATTTATGAATATGGTTATGCTTCTGTTTTCTAAAAAATTGCAGTTATATTTTGTTGGACATCATTTCTTTTAATATAAGATAACTTGAGTTTGGAGGACCAAACTTTTTAAGGTGAGGAGACTGTAATAACCCCGATCCACAATTAGCCACTAATCGGTAGTTAAGGATGTTAATTAAATGAATAAAATAAATTATGGGTTTATTATGTGATTTGCATGATATTTGGCTTACTATCTGTTACTTGTAGAAATATCTGTCTGGAATTCTGCTTTAATATGTAAATTGAAAGCCTTATCGGCATCCGAAATCGAAATTGACTACACCGATATGTTATTTGGAATTTTTAGAACCATGTGGCAAGTTTTATTAAAAATTGATTAAGTCTGATTAATTAAGTCATGTTTGGTTAGCCTAATATTCTAATTATTGTATTTTAGCACCATAAGCTTATGTTTGACCCTTAAGCTCATTTGAGCTCATTTTCTTTCATCTCCCTTGAGTGGAAAAATTTGAGAATTCATTTTAGAGAGAGAAGGGTAGTGATTAAGGAGAATTGAAGGCTATAGCTTGAATTGGTCAAAGATTGTGCTAGAACAAGAGTAATTCAAGACTCTAGGTAAGGATTTGAGACTTAATTATGAGTTTTAACCATTAAGTAGATCATTTCAAGAAGATTTTGTGATTGTGTACAAGATTGGACCAAAGATGTTGAATTTAGAGTTAATTCATGCATGCATGTACATTTTCTTACAAATTGAGCATGATTTCCATGAATCCTCTCTTGCATGTTTGAAATTCATCTTCATTTAGGGAAATCATCAAGTTTCAAGTTGTTTTGTGGTGTTTGATCATGTTTTGAGAAGTTTGATACAAGAAAAATTCATGCATGTTATGTTCATGAACATTCATCATGTTTTAAGTGAAAATTATGAGTTTTTAACAAACCCTTGGGCCATGATTTTACGAAATGATCCTAAATTCTTCATGTTTTACAAGTTTACTATGTTATCTCAAGTTTTAGGGCCCAAGAGATGTGTTTTGATGAGTTGAATTCAAGTTTTGAGCATGAAGGTGCAATCTGGAAATTCCAGAATTTGCATCTACGCTCGAGCGTGGGAGTTCACGCTCGAGCGACCAATCTGAGTGCGTGCACTCCGCTCGAGCGACCAAAAGTCCGCTCGAGCGTGAATTGCAAGCTCCCAGAAGTTTCATGTCTTTTACAGATCGCTCGAGCGAAGAAATGTGCGCTTGAGCGACCATTTACATTTTGCATGTCCGCTCGAGCGTGGACCTTATTTTCAGAAATTTTGCCTAAGTGTTCCAAGGCATGTTTTGGCATCCTCATTGCATCTTAGGCATTCTTAAGCCTTAATTAAGCTATAGTAATGAGGTTATGGATTAGAAACACACTAAGAAAAGAATGTACCAAGTTCCGAGACTGCAAGTGTATGTGTGTTTTAGGCAATGTGATAAGAAAGAATAAGAACCAATGTAATGAAAGCTAAACCTTAATGGCCACTTGAATGTGTAATGATAAGACATGCTTGTGTTATGTATTTTGTGATTGTAAGTCAAGACTCGAGGGTTGATTGACCATTGCTGGAACCACTGTGAGTAACGTTATTGTAAAGATACGCTCATATGAATTATGTTCCACATGAAATATAATAAATTCTAATTTCTGAAATGATATATGTTTTCGTGAATGAATATTCCATATTTGAAATCTATTATGGCATCCATAGATAGTCCCAAGTCATGGGGGATGGCATGGAAATGTGGGTCCATGACATACAAGTAATTACGAGATCTCGTTAGCCACTTCATTGTGGTGATATGTGTTTAATCGGTATCCGGAACCGATTACTCTAGTCGGAAGATGTTCTGTGATGTGTTCTATGGGATGTACCATTATTATGTTCTGATATGAAAATGATTATGCTCTGGTCTGTTTTCTGCTTATGATACATTCGGATTTCATTCACTAAACCCTCTACCTTAATGTTATTCATTGGGCTTTAGCTCATTGTGTGTGTGTATATATGTATATATATGTATAGGTGAGCATTCTGGAGCCCGTGCCTGTAGGCTTTTGGCTGGATCTGTGTTCTGTTGTCAGCCACCCATTGTGCCTCACGTGGAGGTTCCTGAAGTGTCCTGCGTTCAAGTTCTGTTGGTTCTATGTATATGTATGACTTATTTTAATTCTGTTGGCTGGACTTAAAATACTGTAATGTGTGTAGGTATAATGTATGGTTGACTATCGGTTATGTATATAAAGTTTTAAATATTCTGTTTCATATAAGTCAACACAGCTCATTGGACAACTATATTTATGTATTTGCTTCCGCCAGCCCTTTAATCTTGTTAATCTATTCAGAGGCCTTTGGTAGTCCAAGGATTACTGGCCGGTTACGATGCTAAACCTATAGGGGCGGGTTTGGGTCGTGACAGCTATCTAGGAGACGCTCTTGCAATAGTTGGTCTCAACCGTCATATCTTGGAAGATAGACGTTGACATTCCTTCAGCACCCTTCGGCAATGCGGTGAATTTGTTTTAAGAATGTTTTAAGAAAACAGAGTAAGCCACAAGTTTCGATTTGCGTCTCTTGCCATTTGGTCTTTATTTTTCAAAGTTAAATATTTATTTATCCATGTTACTAATTTGTCCTATTAGTGATTTTGTTTTTACGAATTCATTATGTAACCTATTCATATTGTCGTAATTTATTATGTATTTATTCTTTAATAAAAATATCAAGATTATTTTGTTATTTCTATTTAATTTTATTTAATTTATTTTTCTATTATTATTATGGTAAATTACTAAGAGGTGGTGGTTTGTAGAAAGAGGTGGTGGTTTGTAGAAAGAAGGAAGAGAAAGAGAGTTTAGAGAGAGAGAGAGTAAGAAAAGTAAGGAAAGAGAGTATAAGAGCATCTCCAACAATCCTTCGAAATTTTCTTCAAATTTTAGTTAAAAGCGTCTTTTATGTTTTAGGGAACCACTTTTTCAACTATCATTTCCAACAATATACCTTATTTTGTTCTCTATATTTTAAATATTTAAAAAATACTCGTTCTTTATCATTTTTTATTAAAAATATTTTTCCAAACTTTATTCTCTCTCTTCTACCATTTGAGAAAAAGATGAGTGATGAAAGAGAAAGAATAATTTTCTTATTATAAGGAGTGATTGAAGCCTCTCTAAATGTAAGGAGCTGAAAGTTTACCCCCTTAAATAGGGAGTTAAGTAGGAAGCCTATGGAGGGGCTTATTTTATATTTGAATCGCCAAAGTAGGAAAAAAATGGGAATAGAAAGCCTATTGAGGATGTTCTAAGTGAGTCTATATAGTACAAGGACAAAAAGTAGTTTTTGAGCCTACAAATTTGACCGAAAGTAGCCTTTTTATGTGATTCGAACTGACCGCTCGAGCAACTAAAGTTGTGCTCAAGTGGTGATTGGCTTGCATTTTCTTTGCTTTCAAAAACAGTTCGTTTGAGTGGTCAAATGTGCACTTGGCGGTGGATAGGTACTTGTAGGATTTTAGTCAATTTTGAAATTTAGAGCTGCTTAGGTCTATGGACCGCTCGAGTTGTAAAAGTTACACTTGAGTGAACTACACTTACAACTCAAGTACTCTAATTTTGAATGGGCATAATAACTCTCTTGTCCGAACTCCATCTTGGATTGTTCTTGTGTTTAAATCAAAGTTCTAGAAATAAGTTTTCCAATGGTTTTAGCCTCACATCAAGATTCAAAGTGTAGAGAGAGAAAAGCGTAAAAGAGTGAAAGCTACTCAAGAAATAAATATCTCAATTGAAGTTTTTGGTCTAATCTTACTCAATCATAAAATGAGATCTCAATTATAATAGTTAAAAGTTCAAAAGCTAACCTAGGCATTATTATTCTTTTTTTTTAACAAACCTAGGCATTATTTAGCATTTCCTACGAAAGTGTAATTTTTTATAATCTTTTTTGAGTCAGATCATCTTTATACTTTTTTACACATCTTTTCATAAAAAAATCAAAAAATATATTTATTTAAATCTTCTCAATTACTCTCCTATCATTCTCAAGAGTGCAAAAATAATAAAGTACAAGATAACGGGCAATTAACACAAACAAACAAGTCAGGTTTAAGCTCTGAAATGTTATAATTATTAAAATTATTTATATTTCCTTAATAATTGTCAAATGGTCCTAACTAACATAATTTTAAAAAATAAAAATAATTAAAAGTTAAAGTTTAATTTAAAAGTTAAAGTTTAATTTATGAAATTCTAAATTATTATTATTTTTTTATATATTTTTTTTCCTTGATAAGTCGGTGTATAGTATACTGTATGGGGGGAACCAATTCCCAATTCCCATACCAGTTTCCCCTTCCAACAAAGACAATTGCAGCAACGCACCGCACAGCACAGCACCGCTCTCTCTCTCTGTCTCCACAACCCAACCCAGCACCAGAAATGGCAACATCTCGTCCGGCGTCGAAGCCGCTGGATCTGGTGCTGACGATTGTCTCCGCGAAGAATCTGAAGAACGTCAACTGGCGTAACGGCGACCTCAAGCCCTACGCCATCTTCTGGGTGGATTCAGATCGCCGTCTGGCCACCAAGTCCGACGATTCCGGCTCCACCCGCCCCGTCTGGAACGAGCACTTCGTCCTCCCCCTCTCCCTCCCTTTCCACGACTCCATCCTCACCCTCGAAATCTTTCACTCCAAACCCTCCGAGACCCCCAAGCCCTTAGTCGCCTCTCTCCGCCTCGCTCTCAAGGACCTCGCTGACCTGGACGATTCCACTCAACTCAGAACCTTCGATCTCCGCCGCCCCTCCGGCCGCCCCCACGGCAAGATCCGCATCAAGCTCTCCGTCCGCGACCGCCCTTTGCCTCCCCCTCCTGATTACCATATTACCCCTCCCCCTTCCTATTATTTCTCAACTGCCCCTCCTCCTCCTCCCCCTCGCGACTACCGTGTCCCTGTGTCGTTGCCGTCTCCTTCTCCTTCTCCATCTCCGCCGCCTCCTCATTCGTATCCATACAGTGCCTATTCTGATCCCTATTCGGGCTACTACTCCGGATACTACTCTCAGCTGCCTCCGCCACCACCACCGCGACCTTTTTTCGATAGGCAGCCCGGCTATGGTGGACCGAGCGCACCGGTGGATTACACGTCCTATGATCACAAGCAGAAGACTGGAAAGATGGGTGCCTTTGGAGGATTAGCCGTTGGAGCTGCCACTGGGGCCTTGGCTGGACTCGCTTTGGATGAAGGGTTGAAGCACGAGGACGAGAAGGTTTCAGAGAGAGGCGACACTGACTTGGCTGCACGGGACGATTACAGTGATTATCGTGTCGATTATGGACATCATTGAACTCCAGGGCTTGAGGCTTTACCATGAGGTAAGAAGGTCTATTGACTAATGCATATGTATATAAGCTATGTGGATTTGGGACTTTTTATGCTTTAATGGTGTGTTTGGTTGAGCCAAGTAGATTAATTAAGAGTTTATATCCATGATAACAGCTTTGTTGACATATGTGAATCTTCTGCCTAAGTAATAAAGGTTAAGTCTTTATGTTTGTGTTCTTGTTTTCCTGTCTTTAGTTTGTTTAGCAAGTTGTGAGATGTGAATTAATGTTTCATTACATATAAGTTCTGAGTAAATTTCAAGTGCTTGAAGCCTTGTAACCAATTTACTTAGTGAATTTTCCCTAGTGCTTACATCATTATGATTTATTTATTCATTTTTTTAGTTAATCTAGAGTAATGAAAAAAAAAGTGTGGCCAATTGGACGAATGTAGCACGGGGCACTTGAGGTCTTGGAAGATATGCTTGGGGGCCTTCATAAGAAAAGTCCCTTTATTAGTAAGGTGGTCCAGTCAAATTGAGTACTCTCACCCCTTGGTTTGAATGCAATTGGTTATTGATTAGAGTGTTGGTCTCAAAGTACGTGCTTGCCGAGGTCATTGTGGAGAAGAGTAATTTTAAAGTAGGGACTTTAACCACTGATTCAACAGTTAAAAGTCGACCAATTAATAGTTTGAGGGCAACGACTTTGTGCAAATTATGTCAAATGTTAGGTTTGTACCCAATTTACTTCTCTTAGACCCCCATGATCCATCCAATATGGACTAAACTAGCCGCACTCTTTTCACTCTAAGCAATGAGAGTACATGACAAATGAAATAAGTGTCAAACTGCTAGAAGGTTAGATTAATTTCTTTGGTTTGTCTTATGAGCTTCTCCAAATTGAGTTCACATCTAAGGGTGATCATCCTACTCAATTGGTGCTTATTAGATAACCGTTTTACTGCCCTGCTATCGTATCCAGTAACAATTACCCTGTTAATATGGTATGGAAGGGACTCACCTTCAACTTCTACGACATGAGTGCTAGTAGAGAGACTGGTCCTGGTTAAGTTATTGGTCAATTATGCTGATTGTTTTGGTTTGAGCTAGAAGAACTAGGGTTTGCCCAAGTTCAATTCTTCGTGGGCCAAGAGCATATAGTGATGTTGTGACTTTTTTTATGTGTTGTTGCTTTTGGTTCATGAAAGGATGGCATAATTATTAAATTGGTGCTAAGAGAAGTGTGATAATCTGATGTTGCCATGAAGCTAGAATATTAAATTACGATTGGTGTCAACAACTCGTGTTGTTTTGACACGTTTTTTTTTTGGGTATATATCTTTGATTCTACTACCTCTATCCCATAATTCTTTCACACCATTTTATTTTTTGGATTTTCCAAAATGGTTTTTCATTTTGAAAGGTTAAAGTACTTTAAGTTGCGATTTTGTAATATTATTTGCCATGGTTGTTAGAATTGTACAATTCACGATTTGTTTCATACGATTTGATATGAGTTTTAACAAAAACGATTCGAATCGTGCTATTGAATCGGAAATTGAGTGAATCGTACAATTCAATTTATGATTGACTACGATTCACTGCAATTAATGCTATTTGTATTTTTGTTCACATAATACATGAAGCAACATCAAACTATGAAGGTATATAGAAGAAAATAATTAGTTATATTGCTATATGTGATTTTATATGTATTGAGAGGGGAGATTTGCACCTGACTGTACGGCCGAGCTGAGTTAACGTCAGACATGACGGACCGCGTAGCGCCGAGCTAATCTCTGTTGACATGGCCAGTGGCCTGCCTTGCATGGTCGGAAATATTGACCGGTCAGGTACCAACCGGCATAGCTGAGCTGCGTCTTGAACGTGTTGGGCGAAGCTTGGGTTATCGATGCTGACCGGGCTAAAAGGTAACCCGAGCTAGTCCGTGGGCGCGATCAAGGCCGGTGCACTTTCGATCGGTCAGTCGATATAAAGTGGCTTCGTGCGACCGAGATTGAAGGTAGACCGGTTGGAGGTCGGCATGCCTCGCAACCGGATGGTCATGATGAACCGACCAATGATGGTTCGGCCGAGGTGGGCAGGCTTTCGCCTGATTCCAAGTTATAGGTCGGCGACACATAGCTCGGTTACGAGCATGTAATAGCGACTCTCCACAAGTGACAGGCCGGTCGTGGCACTCCGGCTAAGTATGCCACCTGGGCCAATGGCGTGAAGGAAAGGACATTCGCTCCACGCATGCCTCAATGCCGTTGGGCAGTTCTGTGTGTACTGGAGGGAGGACTAAGCCTTTACACGCGTAAGGTGGTGAGAGGCGAGCACTGCCACCTGTCCAGGGAAGGATAGCAGAGGTAGTGCGCGCACAATCTTGAGGCTGCGTGGCCAGCCTAGAAATACGGAGGAAGAGGGGCGTTGGAGGTAAGCGAATTCGTCCTACCAAAAATTCTCTCCCTGATAGCCTTCTTCTTCAGCTGGTGGTCTGACTTGATCGTCGGAGGGTCTTTCCGGCACACCACCGCCGGGTAGCTCACCATTTTTGTGTTGCAGAGATAGACGCCGTTACAAGAAGCTTGACGACCAAGGAGTACGGAGAACAGATGATATTTCGCCCCCGTACATGTATATACATATATAATTTAGTCATATTCATAATTTACTTATGTGTTTTTATATGTATATAAATATATAGAATGATATATCATAGTAAATAAAATGAATCTTACGATTCATGATTCATTATTTTAGCAAAACGATTTATGATTCAATTCGCGATTTGACAACGATGATTATTCCATTTGGGTAGCTGTGAATGCTTCTAATACCGATAAACAATCGGATATTTTTGGAAAGTACTACTCCTTTTGGGTGTCAATGCCTTAGTTTTCATAATTGCTTTTTTGGTCGGTAATGTTTTTGCTCTTGAATTGCAATTCTGTGACTCAAAGTAAGAATTGAGGTAGAATCGCTACTCTAATTGGATAAGACCATTCTCAAACATATGAATCCTAAAAAGAACAAAATAAAAACTATCAAGATAGAAGGATTGTGTTATATATTTTTTCTTTTTATTAGTAATTAAAGGCTATTTTTTTGATAGATACTTCAATTTGGGCTCTGTGAGTAATGAGAAGTAAAAATGTATATTACTAATGATGAATTTCTATGTTTGTAATGGGAAGTGACAATACTTATGTTCAATCATTTTAAGTGGTAAGCTCTTAGTTGCATGAAACGGGAATGAGAGTGTGGCCACTTAGAAGCGTCATAGGTTAGAAGTGCTTATGTATTATTTTTATTGATAATATTTTTAATTTATCTAGATAAACTTTTTTTTTTTTTTTAAAATTTTAATTGACACACACACACACACACACACACACATGTTATAAATGAAATAAGTAGAGCCTATGTTAAATAATTATTTTTAAAATATATTTATTATATGAAGATGAGTTAAAAAAAGTTATCCCAACAATTTTTTTATAAATATAATCAAACGTATGGATAACCCTTATAATAGCTATGTTGATAATTTAATAGAGATGCTGGTCAAAAACAAATCACTAAAAGGTGTAAGTTTTTATTTTTGAACAAAGTTTATAAATAGGCACAGACTTTTTACTTAGTTATTTGGGTCCAGCCCATTGGGGTTTAGGATACAAACTAGTTGGTCAAACTCACTCACTCTCACTCTCTTTCTCTCACTCACTCACACACACACACACAGACACACAGACAGACACACACACACAAAGCACGATCGAGAGACATACTCTCTCTCATTTCTTCTCTTCTCTTCTCTCTCTCTCTCACTCACACACACGCATAGCATGATTGAGAGACAGAGAGATCGAGAGAGAGGAGATCGAGAGATAGAGAGATCGAGATAGAGAAGACAGTGAGATTGAGATCGAGAGTGATAATGAGAGATCGAGATCGAGATCGAGATCATGTTTCTCTTGCATCAAAAGCGCGATTCTTCCTCAAAAGCGCAAAAGCACGCTTCTTCCTTAGAAATGTGATGATCTTCCACGATTCCTACTACTACAGGTAAACGTAGTGTAGACATTTAATATACATGTATTGCAATTTACAACTAAGAAAAATTTCTTGTTATATATTTGTATATAAAATACATAAACGCTCCTTTAGGTGCTCCCAACATTAGATTCTTATATGTGCCCTAATTCCCTCAATCTCACTCCTACTCCTACTCCTACTCCTACCTCATGCAACTATAGTCAATGCAATGAAAACTTACCTCCTTAGAATGTTAGATTTTTCATGGTGGACAGAAAATTGAGAAAATGAGGGATTATGTGATTACAACAATGAAGGCATTCTTATATTTCCCATGACATTGTTAAACCCCCAAGGGGTTGGTCTAGTGAGTGCAGCTTGGGGCTTGGGGATGTACTCCCTGGTCTCAAGTTCAACTCCTACCAGGTGCTATCAACTTCTTGGGGGTACGTCCGCGGGCTTTGCTCTATCTACGTGGAGGGGGCGCTTTGCGTAGGTTCGAGATTAGTCGAGATATGCGTAAGTTAATCCGGATATCTGATCATTAATATATATATATATATTTCCTATGACATTGTGGAAAGCCACTTATGGGCAACAATTGATATGAATTGCTTGTGTTTATGAGGGTTGCCAATATGATTGGTTCAAGAGTTTCTTGGTCCAGTGAGGTGAAAATGGACTCATTCTATAGCGATTACTTCTATTTGTAATTGTAAATTGTAATGTTTTGGGAAGTTGGTTGGTTACTTCTTGATATACCACCCATAGATATTACAACGATCCCTTTTTGTATCCATGTTGTGTGTTGTCTCTTGCCCTTATCATTGTGGAAAGCTACTTCTCTGGTGTATGTTATTTGCAGTTTTACATTCAGTAGGAACATTTAATGCAATATATAGTTGACTAAACATGTGCAGAAAACTTTACGCTAGTATCCCGGAGATATATTAGAATTTAAAAGGTTCGGAGACCAAGACCTCATATATGGAGTGTAGCAAAACTACAAAATATGGATGAAAATGGTGTAAAATTTGATTGGCAATAAATACTTGAAAGTAACTATTTTTAATATTTTATTATTAGTAAATATGGAGATATTGAGTAGGATGTAGCCTATAGAATTAGAGCAAAATGGATGAAATGGAGTGCATCAGGATCTGTTGTGTGGTCGTAGAATACCTATTAAGTTGGAAGGGAAACTTATATGTAATTGTTATTAAGATTTGCTATGATGTGTTATTGAATGTTGGACGGTTATAAAAAAATATTAAAAAATAAGTATAGTTGAAATGAGAATTAAGACGTGTGGGGATTACAAGAAAAGAAAATTAAAAAAAAATCTATTAGGAAGAATTTAGAAATCATATTGTGGATGCCGTGCCTTTTTGGTTATTAGGCTCGTTTCCATACATTGTTCCAAATTCTAAATCCCACATCGAAAAGAGTCTCCACTTAATGTTTATGGGAAACTAAGAAATCTTTTGACTTTGAAAACATAATTTAGGCACTAATTCGTCAAAACCAAACATCTTGGTTCGAGAACTTAGGTACAAAAAGGGAAGGTCATTTTGTGAGCACCCCTCTCTTGCCCAATCAAGTGATTGACCTCTACTAATATTTTATTTATGAGATTATATGATTAATTAATTCCATAAGCTCAATTATTAACCCTAAATTCTTTACTAACCTGATCAATTAGGTGGTTGAATGAAATAGATATTGCCTAAGGTTGTAATCATGAATACAACCATGTCAAGCCAATGATTTTCATAAAACATTTGATTTTCTTAAAAAAAGAGCTTTAAATACACACTCTCATCAGACATGATCATGATCGTACTCATGATTCTAACTCAAACAATATCATCAAAATTATTCAAAACACACAATTGATCGACCAAAGAGCATATAAACTTGAATTATTGAAAAACAATGCATCAAGTAAGCAAGCAACATGTTATGAGTGAAAGAGGACTTATTTGGAATCCCTAGCAACATAATGATAATAACAATGCATCAATAATATAAACATGAACCTAAACATGCTACTAATTCACACAATATGATTCTATAACCCAGTTAGGCAACTAACATGATGAATATGCAACAAACTAACATCTAACACATAGTAAATCTAAACTAATATGCATGAACTAATCGGGTTAATATGCAAGAACTTGCAGCAACTAAAACATGCTAAAGTAACGTGTAAAGTATACAAAAATCATGGATTAAGTTTATCAAAACCAAAACTAAACTAATCTAACATTATGACACAATAACATGCAAACTAACTAACCATTATCGAACATGATAAATTATACTGATATTAACAAAGAAGAACAATACCTTAGGTTTGATGATCAAACTGAAGAGCATGAGAAAAAGGCAAGAAACTTGCTTGAATGCTTCCCTTGAGCTTTGGCTTCTCTTTGATCAACTCAACTCGACCTTAGATCTACTTTTAGTTGCTAATTAGCTGTGGTATTAGGGTTAGGAATTTCGGATTTGGAGGCTATGGTTTGTATGTTCACTTTTCTAGTTCAACTCAAAAACTCAATTCATCTCAAACACTTGGGATCATCCAATGGGGAGGCAAGGGGGTGTATTTATAGGCACGGGGTGACTTGGGGGCTAAGAAAGATCATCCTAGGGCTTCCCCATCGCTAATTGGTGGCACCTCCCACCCAAATCACGACACAGTCCTGAACGAAACAGAATTCTGGGTAGGTCGCCCACACGTGCGAGCACACTAGGAATGTGCGGCTGCACAATAAGAAATTGCACGTGCGGCTGCAAAAAAGAACACGTAGGGTCGCACATACTTGACAACCTTTCGTATTTTGCATGCATCTCTCTCTTATTTGACATCGAATTAAGGTGAATCAAGCGGCGTTGGAAAGCTAACTAAAATGGCTACAAGTTTGTGTGAAGTAGAAAATTTCCAATTCCAACTTTTACTATATGTGAAAACAGGCTCTCAAGATGAGCCGAAAAATGGTAATTTTGGCTAAAAACAGTTTTTGGCACGAAAATGGTAATACAATAGCTCTAACAAATTCAAGCATCTCAAAAGTCAAAACTATGATATCTTCCATCATCGGGAAGCATTGCAAGTGTCTAAGTTTTAATGGTCAGTCAAAATGGAGTGTACTACGCATACCAATTGAAAATGAAATTAGGTGAAGTCATTTGAGATGCTATGACCATGTGCATCATAGACCAATTTATGCGATTTGATCCCCATGGAGGGTGGTAAAAGAAATAAGGGGAATGCTAAGTGCCCCTAGGACATTGTTTAATATTGGGATTGTGATGAAAAGTGTTTTGGAAACATGTAAAAAGTCAAAAAGAATTCTGAAATCAACAAAAATGTTTTTTGAAATTGTTGATAAATGCTTCATGTTCTTTAGCTTTATTTTTGTCTATTTTTTGTGCCTCAAGGCTCTTGCAAGCAAGACCCAAGAAGTAAAGCAAGACCAAGGATAACATTAGTTGGGCAATAAGAAAAGACAAGAACACCTTAAACTTGACTGAGGATATGAACAACCAATCCCGAGTAGTTGTGACAAAGACTTGATCGTAGTAGCCATTTTCTCCTGTAATTGGCATGCTCCTCTAAGATCTTTTTTATTATTCATATGGTACCAAAATCAACCTTTCCGGATTAATGGTTTCATTATAGCTCTTCATCAAGTAGATAAACAATGTCACCTCATGGAGGTAAGCCTTGTTTAGGATAAACTAGAAAAGCCAAAAAGTTAAAAAGTTACTAAAAAAAACTAAAAATTCTATACTATTCAAGGGTAGCTTGTGGGGGAAGTCATTGAATTCAACTACCCAAAAGGCAAAAGGATAAAATATTCATATTGATTTTACTACAATATTTTATTACACATCTTTTCGTAAAAAGCCAAAAAGTTATTCCAAGCATACATATTTTTTTCTTTATTTTTTTAACCAAAAAGTCAAAAAGTGCACTTATATAGCACATCCCAAACAACTACTTAGGCATTTTTTTTTCCTCTTCACATGCCATGTGTGGGTGAGAGGTGTGGTTAGAGATAGTCTGGGAAGGTGGTAGGCACTTCAATGGCCTGAGATCATCGTAGGTGAAGAGGAGGCGGCCAAGGCAAGCTTGGAGAGGGAGAGTTTGGCCGTGATGGACCTTGAACACTAATGTAGAGTGTGAGTATGAGTGTCTAAGTGTAAGACTTGTGTGTTGTGTATATGTGTTGTAACTTGTTATGGAGTTATGTTGTGGTGAAGTGAAGTGAGTTTGCCTGCTGCATATATGATACGTTATATAGGCCACAAGAGGATTGGAGTCCAAACAACCTGTTGGACAAGTGGCTTGTTGTCCCAAACTTTGTTAGAAGTGATATAAGCCCTACTGTCATTCGTGGCTTGATGGTAGGCGGGAGAGCAACGTTTCATTGCAGGTGGAGAGCAACGTATCATATATGCATCAGGTGGCATTAGTGTAAGGTTATCGTAGTAAGAAGCAAACCATCTCAGCGATTCCATGACCTCAACCGCCAATCCAAAATTCTCTGATGATCCTGAGCGGTAGTGCCTGGGTCTTGTTCCCAACCTAGGCAACCAAGTAGGCCCATTTCAATATTTAAGAGAGCCAAGGGCTCGCTTCCAGGCGGCCAAGTAGGAGAATGGGCCAAGGGCCTATCTTAATGTTTAGGAGAGCCAGGGCTCCAACTTATCAATCGAAATCTAAGTAAGCCGAGGGCCTGATTATATTGTTGTTTGGTCTTGGAGTGAGGTATAAAGGACCATGGGCTTGTGGGGCATGGTGTTGCCTGTTGTTAGGCTCTTTATATTTGGGCTTGTGTGTATGTTCCCGCTTAGGCTAAAGCATATAGTCTAGGTTTTGCATGGTGCTTTGGCAAGCTGCCATGCACGTGGGTGTTGGTGACGTGGCGCCCGTAGGGCTCGCTAGGTATCAGACGTGTGATATGCTCACATGGTGCCTTATTGGTCTGTCAGGCAGGTTGGTGTTGGTGACGTGGCGCTCGTAGGACTCACCATGTATTAGACATGCGATATGCCCACGTGGTGCCTTATTAGTCTGTTACGCGGGCGGAGCTTGGTGATGTGACATCTGTAGTGTAGGGCTTGCCACATATTGGGCTTGATACAAGTATCCACACCATGTAGATGTTATGTCTGAATCACAACTGTTGTTCCCCTTCAATTTTATTTACTGTAGATGCTAATTTTGTGTACTTCAAAATTCTCTCTATTTTCCCTCTCCTCTCTTAATCTTTTTCTTATTTTATTAGTGAAGGATGCTGGCTCTACAAACATCAAGATAGATTTACAACTTATATGGAAAGTTATCTGAAAATTTCAGTTTTTTAGCTCACGTTTACCAAACCAAACCAAACCAAACCAAGCTAAGCTAAGCTTTGTGTCCTAATTCGGTGGGGTTCGCTACATGATTCCTTTTTAGTAAGTCCAATCTGTTTAGATCTTTCATTCTCCATAACGTTTCTATTTACAGATGTCATATCACTTTTCCTTGCATAATTAATTTAGGTGTGTAGCCATCAGGGCCTGTCTAGATAAATGACGAAATTGTTTTAGGTACTTTTGTATACTGAGGTAGTTGAATTGTACTTTGAGGTAGATTTCTAAATAGCCATTAAGTGCTTGTCTGCAATCGACTAGACATTATTTCATTTTTACTAATGACTTGTGTAACTCTGATTTTGTTTCATAGATAATGTGATCCTGACAATATTGCTCCAGGGACGCCTTCTTTTCTCGGAGTGATATGATTTGGCTAGTGTGTGTTTGTTTTCTTTTTTTAATTAGCAATAAAAGAGAATTTAAACATACACTGCTGCCCTAGGAAGCACGGATACGGATACAGATACGGGATACGGGTACGATACAATACGGATACGGCGATACGGCAAAATTCGAAAAAGTAGGATACGGATACGGCGGGGATACGTTCAAAAAAAAATATTTTTTTTCACAATTTTTAGTAATGTAGCATACACAAAAATAAAACTTCAACAATTTTTAGTAATGTAACATACATAAAATAAAACTTCAACAATTTTTAGTAATATAGCATACATAAAAATAAAACTTAAAACAAAAGACAACTTGATAAAAAAAGAGAGATTCCTATGAACTAAGAGTCTTCAACATCAATAGGTTCAACTTGTTCCCCTTCATTAGTGAATATCACAGCTTCCATATCTGGTTCATCAAGAGAAAGGCTTGCAATTTCAAGTAAGCCTGCACCATCCAATGAATCAAAAGCATCTCCACCAACATCCCATAACTTGGATTCTCCTTCAATGTACTGTCGACTTCTCCTTGATAGGAGACGAAGATTGTTGTGCACAAAAACCAAATCTTCAGCACGTTGTGGTGTCATTTTGTTTCTTTTCGTGGAGTGAATAAAGGAGTAGGTGCTCCAATTCCTTTCACAGCATGATGAGGAACATGGCTGGCCAAGCAATTTTAATGCTAAAGATTGAAGCATAGGAGCAGGAGACCCATGTGTAAACCACCAAATAAGTGGATCCAATACTCCTCTATCAATCTTTGAGTCAAAATCTCGAAACATATCAAAACCTCCTGAAAACTTGGCATATTCCACATTTACAACCCGTCTCTCCTCTAAACTTGGAAAGTATTTCTTGAAGCACTTGTTTCTCATACTTGAAATTTCTTCATCCCTATGAGGAGGGACACGATTGAGATTTTCATCAAGCCACGTTGAACTATAATACCTAGATTACAACATTAGAAAGTTTTAAAATTAAATTATGTTATTCATATTAAAAGACAAATGTCAACAAAGAAATGTAATTAGTAAGAGTATGAATTAAGCTATTACCTTGGATTCAAAGAATGTGCAAGGCAATGAAGAGGAGTGTTACTTTTGGACCACCTCTCAACTAGTATATTGTGCACAACGGAATAAAAGATTGATTCCTCATGATCTAGCTTCCCTTCATGCCTAAAGATGCTTGCCTTCACCTTTTCAATCATGGTGTCCCACATTTCATAGACTAAGTGAAGGCATGGTTTGTCAGTGTCACAAAACCTAAGCATCTCATAGATAGGCAATGTAAAAAACAATGTAATCAATCTTATCCCGTCACACATTATTTAATAATTTTTCCTTCACAGATGCTGCTTTCCCAACATCGTCTTCTTTGTAAGAAACCCACTGGTCACTAATAACCATTGATTGGAGGCCACGCTTTATAAGTTTAAACCTTTTGAGCATGATAATGGTAGATGCGAAACATGTCTGCAACAGCAAGCAACTTCAAGGGTACGAATTCATTGAAAATAGCTAGCCGCATGGAATGGTTCATGATGAAGTTTTTGATAAACATCATATCATCAACACAAAATGTGATCTAGTGACATTCATCATAAGTAAAAGAAGTACTACTTGTTTCCTTTAGAGCACAAATATTCTAAAGAGCAGGATTCATTGTGTGAACTACACATGGTGTCCAAAAGATATTCGGGTACTTACTTTCAATGAGTAAACCAGCTGCACTACACACGGGAGCATTATCTGTAATGACTTGAATGACATTCTGATGTCCAACTTCCTCAATTGCTTGACTAATTAAGTTGGAAATAAAAAACTTGTCTTTATGCTCGCCTTCACAATTAACAGCTTTCAAGAACACTGCCCCAACTTCTGATGCTCCCATAAAATTAATAAGGGGCCTTCTTTGAGAATCAGTCCATCCATCTGAAACAATACTCAACCCTTTTTCCTTCCATGATGCTCTAGTTGGCTCCAACAACCTCTCTACATTAGCCCTTTCCTTTTGAAGCAATGTAGTCCTCAACAAGTTATAACCGGGTGGTACATAACCAGGAATTGGATTGTTGGCAGCAAATTGAAATGCACTAACATAATATGGGTTCCTTGATAAATGAAAAGGTAACCCCGCTGAATAAAACATGCGAGCAATCTCAGAATGTAGTTATTCACGAATAACTGGGTTGAATGCCTTTTATAGAGCAGAAGTTCCAGTGGCCTTTCTTTTTCTTGGCTCATACCCCTCCATCCTAAATCCTCCAATATCTAAAGTCCCTGAACTTGTTGAAGTAGATTGGGTGGAAGGTGGTAAAGGAATTTTTTTAGGCATAGCCATCTTTAACCTCTTCTCAGCTTCTTCAATTTTCCTTTGCATTTCAGCAAGGTGTTGCGGAGTCACTTTGGGGCACACTCTAATCCCATTGCCAGAAAGTTTTAACAAATGTGCCTTGACCCTAAAGTATGACCCCCTGTACTCTTGTTGACAGTAATTGCATTTAAACCTAGTATTACCACCTCCTCCCATTTTTTCTAGTTTTGTAACATAACACCAAAGAGGAGCATGATCATCTTCTTCCATTGGTGTACCACTTGTTGAACCTAAACTTCCCGTACCTGAACTCATTTCCTAAAATTTATGGTAAACAAATAAAACAAAACATTAATGTAGCATCACCCATAACAACCATAATGCATCATCCTCATCCATAACAAAAAATTCATCAATTCAATTAAATTTCAACAATTTTAACAATATAGCATCACCCATAACAACTATAATGCAATTCAATCCCAAATTAAGGGGGAAAAAATTTACAAAGTTCATTTATTTATCAATAAGTTTATTTATTTATTAATAAATTTGTTTTTTACCTTATTTGATTTATTAATAAGTTTACAAAGTTTATAATTTTATAAGTTGACAAATTTTATTTTTAATAAGTTTATTTATTTATTTATTACTAAGTTTTTTTTACCTTATTTTATTTATTTATTTATTAATAAGTTTATTTGTTTGTTTTATCAGATTCAATAAACCGAATATACAAGGTTTTTTTTTTTTTTTTTTTTTTTTTTTTTTTTTTTTTTTTACGTGATTTGCAGAGTCTACATATAAAAAATAAAAAAAAACTAAAATCATACAAATAAATATGCAAACAGACATAGGTAAGGGAGGGGGAGAGACAGATTGATGAAGGGGGGGGGGAGATGAGATCGACATCTCGAACCAGAGTCTAGACAGACAGATCGAGCGAGATCGAAAGGGAGAGGGAGAGAGAGAGAGTTCGTGACAGACAGAGGGAGTGAGGGAGAGAGAGGGACGAACCTGATCGTGAAACTGATCGACGATCGGCGAGCTGCTTCTCCTCCTCCTTCGCGGCTGCGTCGAATACCTAGGTAAGATAGAGTTTGGTTTATTATTTTTCTTTTTTTTTGTGTTTTATTTCATCTTTATTTTCATATTTTACAATTTCACCCCATTTTAAGTTTTTTAAATTATTTTTTTGCCCCTGCTGTATCCATACCGTATCCATACCGTATTTAGACCGTATCCTCGCGTATCCGAGACGTAGCCGAAATTCAAAAATTAAAAGAAAAAATCGGATATTTCATTTCCTGTATCTGATACGTATCCTCGCATATCGGGCGCGTATCCGTATCCGATATGTATCCGATACGCATACGTGACCTATTTCGGAGTATCCGTGCTTCATAGCTGCTGCCTATTTCTTCTTCATTATAGTGAATTTTTTTCCAAGTTTGTTTCTGAGGGGCTTGAAGTTTGCTGTTGAAGCTTATATCTAATAGAACACACCTGCTATTTATGTAACCCCCCACCGGTCCAAACGCAAAATGGCACTGCTGTTTCCAGTTGTTTCCACTCATCTGTATCTTCTTGCAATTTGTGACCCTGGATGGAAACAGTCAAGGGTTGGGACTGAAGGTTGGTGTTTTAAATGACTATTTGAATAGCTTGGTAAGCGATTAAGTGACTATATGGCAAGTTTGTGTTTCGTTAAGGTTCAACACTGGTTCTGAAAGGTGCAATTTTGCAGTAGGTGGGGATGTGACTTGGCTATTTGGGAGTACTGGAGAAGTGCATGCATCTGGTTGTCTCTAGTTCTACCTCCCTCTGAGCCTTCCACCTTGCGCTTTATTCTCACGTTTGGTTGGGTTTTCAGTTTGTTAGCAAGGATTTAAAGAGGTACATGTTTATGTTTTGTCCCGTACCCTCTTTTCTGGTTTTGTTCTGTTGGGATAAGGTGGAAACTCTGAAGTTTGTTACTTGCTTCTTGATTTGGCAGCTACAATAGTTAGCCTGTTTTTTGTTTTGAGGGAAATAGTTACTCTGTTTTTGTAGTAGTACATTCTCTCTCAGGGCTCTCTCAGGGTTCCATCAGTTGTCTTGGCTTGATTTCATCTTTAGGCGTCATGTGTTTAGTCAGTTAAATCCTGTAACTTGAGCTCTATTGCATTAGATGATGAGAAAAGCATGGCATCCCCTATTTGTAGGCTCAAATCAGAGCACATTGTACTGTTATCTGATGGTTGCAATCTGAAAATTTATGCCATGTTTAAGGACCCAGGCAAAATTATATGGTTTTCTCATATGACCGCTACTATGATCTCATTTAAGTGCAATTTGCTGACATCCCATATTTTTAGGCTCAAATCCAATAGCCAGCCATGACACTGTCTGTTGGTTGTGATCTGTAGATTTCTGCTAGGTTTAAGAGACCTGGGGGGGTTATAGTACTCTTAATCTGGGAAAATGTAGCTCTGCCAGGTTAATTTGTGGCTAAACGTGATGACATATGAAGTACTATCAGTTGAACCGGTGGATGTTTTAGGTTGAGATTTGAGAGTTCCCTTTATAGATTAAGACAGGTAGAAGTCGATTCCACCTGTTGCTAGTAATGCAATATGATGGTGATCTAGTTTCATTAATAGAAAAAAAATCTACCCCTCTGAGTTGAACATGGCGTGTTTAGATTTATGATTTGTTTTGAGGCACATCTCGTTGTACTATGTTACTGGTGGTAAGAGTGTAATGGCTTTCGGCATTCGGGTTGTAGGAAGTGTGGCTCTGAACTGATCGTGTCTGTTTTATAATTTTGTAAACCGAACTGATACACTGCCTCAAAGCTGTTGCGCTTAAGTGCTGTTTGGAGTGGGTTTATACCGAACTGATACACTGCCTCAAAGCTGTTGCGCTTAAGTGCTGTTTGGAGTGGGTTTATATTTTTATTTTTTTACGCATTTGCTTGGGTAGAAAACATTTTTTGTAGAAATTTTTTCCCGGAAAATGTTTTTCAAATAAAACATTTTTCTTTGTTTGGTGGTGGTGGTGGTGGTGGAATGGAGGTGGAGGTGGAGGTGGAGGTGGAGGTGGTGGCGATGACGGTGATGGTGGCAGTGGTGTGGTGGTGATTTTTTTACGCATTTGCTTGGGTGGAAAACATTTTTTATAGAAATTTTTTCCCGGAAAATGTTTTTCAAATAAAACATTTTTCTTTGTTTGGTGGTGGTGGTGGTGGAATGGAGGTGGAGGTGGAGGTGGAGGTGGAGGTGGTGGCGATGACGGTGATGGTGGCAGTGGTGTGGTGGTGAAGGTGAAAGTGGCGGTGGTGGCTGTGGTGTAGTGACATTGGCAAAATTATAGTCTAGAAAACATTTTTCACCTTTAAAAATGAAAAATATTTCTGCCCAAGTAGTCTTGTTTTCCATTGACTATGAAAAATGTTTTTTTGCTGACCTTCGTTTTCTATTGTATTAAACACCAAAAAATACATAAAATCTTTTTCGTCCAAATAAACGGAGAGTTAGATTGGAGTGGTTGATTTGGGTTTATTGCTGTTCATGCTAAAATATGAAAAATTCAAGCACAGTTTAATGATCTCAAAGTTGCACATTGATCAGATTGACACCGTTTTTCCCCCTCCAGTGGATAGGATATTAATTACATGTGAGAATGATGACATCAAACTAACAATGTATGTTTACAAGCCAAACAACCACCAAGCCCAACAACCACTTCAAATAAATGTCGCACCCTACATCGAGAAGAAGAAATATACACTCCGTAACAAATGAGGGAGAAATAATTAACATTTGGTCTTGGTAAGGATTAATCCTTTAATCTCTTGAATAGCTAGTAGTGTATGAGAGTGACTCAGTTGATTCGTGGTGGTTTGTTATTTTTATTTTTTATGAGCAGGGTATGAATTAGTAGTTAGTAGGGGAAATGGGTAACAGAGTATGATACTCCTCTGTATAAGATTTAAATTTATAATCTTACATCACAAAATAGTACTATTATATAACCACTAGGCGCGTGTTTGTTTGGACGGACTGGATAAGGGGGATTATAATCTATCGGACTATTAGTCCTGGAATATATTGTCCCCGGATTATTTGGTTGGATTGGATTTGTATCTTTATGTTTGTTTAGTCAGGGGATTGGATGTTTGGATTGGATTATTTTTAGTGAATCCAATGTTTGTTTCGGATATTATAGAGAAGGATAAATGCTGAAATGATTATTTTATCCTTTTTAATTATTTACTAAGTAATAGCAATATTAAACATAGCTTTAATATTTTAATTATTTTTAGCTAGATTAAATAAAAATTTATTTTATTTTATTTTTTGCACAATTAAATAAATTTATTTTTAAATAAATAAATAAATATCAATAAAAATATATGTTATTTTTTAATTAAAATTTTAAATAAATTTATTTTAAATAATAATAATAATTAAATAATGAAATAAAATAAAATATCAATAAAATATCCATAAAAAATTATTTTAAAAAAATAAATAAATAAAGCAAAAATAAAAATAAAAATAAAAATTAAATAAAATTATTTTATTTTTAAATTGAGATATTTAAATTTTATTAAATATAATAAATAATTAAATATCAGAGAGCAAAAATGTAATTTTATTAGCTAATCTCATGGGATGAGTTATTCCATAATTTTTATCCCACCCCTCATAGGATAGCATAATAGTCTGAAATTATTAGTTGGGAGCAAATCTTTTGAAATAAACAACGGATCAATAGTCTAATCTTATGCCCAATCCTTCCAAAACAAACGCGCCCTAGGTGTAGTGGTTGTGGGTTTGTGGTTTCCGTGCATCAATCATTGAAACTATGGAAAAGCATAAATGATTGGGTCCAATGCACTCCCCCTTTAAGTGTTCCAGATGGTAAAACCTTAATGATCTTCAACATAAAATATATAATCTACTTCTAATTTTGGAGATTTATTTAAATTAGAATAGAGATTTAAAAAGAAAAAAAAAGGGTGAGATATAAATAAAATATAAATTTAAATATATATATTTTCATTGTCTTTGTTCTTGTCTCTGTCTTTGCCTTTTTTTCTTTCTAAATTCTATTTAAATTCGTGATTTAAACACTATTTTGTTAGACTTGGAATTGTTGGATGTGCATGTCATTTGAGACATAAATAGTGTTATGTACATAGAAAAAATTTATAACATTTTGGATTCTATCATTTTAAGAGTAACACCTTGTCAATGTGATTTATAATTTTAAGAATGTCATTATCAAATCATTTTATTAATAAGCTATACAAAACAGAAAAAACAAATTACGGGTCATTCTCCAATTTAAACAAGATGATCCTAAAACATGATAAGAGTCATTATCACAAATGAATCCATCTTATCCGCTGAAGAAAGAAAAAGATGAAATGTTTTCCATCCCTGTTCAATGAACATAAACTATTAAACAAGAGCAAAAGAATATTAAAAAATAAATAAATAAATTATGAAATTAAATAAAATTTTGTAGCGTCAATGCTTCATAAAATGAATCGGTGATTCCATTATGACGTGGCTTCTCTATTATTTAGAGACTAGAAAAATTTATTTGGGTTTTTGTTTTTTTTTTGTTTTTTGTTGACGGGGGAACCTTTCTAAGATGGTGCATTGGACCTATCTCTCTTGGGTTTATCTCAAATACTTTCAAATCATCTGTATCACTTAAGACTGAGTGACTAAGAGTTGAACTTGAATGTCTAGGTTCATGATTCATTTCAAAGGAAGCCTTTTTAGAATTGACTGACTCCAATGACATGTAACAATTATGAAAATTAAAGATCTATATAAAAAATGGGCTGTGTTTATTACATATTCACATTTTAACATGAAAAAACTTGAGGGGCTCATAAGGGTTCACCACTCGCAGGGTTTACAACTTATCATGTTTTGATGATTTGAACTGTTTATACCTCAACCATTTGCACATATATATTACACTAAACAAGCTATAAACAAGTTAGTTGTTCACGATTTGTGACATGAATATTCAATCTGTAAGTTCGCATTTTGAAATTATGAGAATTAGACTAATTAACAATATATTGCTTATAAAAGAAAAAAAGAAGTTAGGTAATTCAATTATGCTTCTAGCTCTACTTTAGTTTGTCAAAGCTCATGCTAAATTATAGCAGTGTCAAATTACAAATAACATTTCTGTTTGGCCATTTGTGATGAAAGTATAAAAATTTACATTTGCATAATTATAGTAATATTGTCAAATTATAATATTATGGCAGCACTGACAATGAATGGGATTTATTGGTTGTTGAGTTGGATTACGAACTTGATTACAGAGTCATGTTTGGGTCCTTTTGTATTCCAATTTCTACTTGGTAATAAAAAAGTAATAGGTGGTAAATTCAATGACAATGAATGGGATTGAAGATTAGATTCAATTCAAGTAGATTGGGATGGGAGTGACGCTTGTACGGTTTGCCTTTCAGAGGTGGAATCTTTAGAGCATCTGTTATTTGGTGTGATTGGACGAAAGCAGTTTGGTTTGGATGTGATCTGGGCATAAGGATAGACGGTCATCATTGTCACTCCTTTCAGAAATGGTAGTTTTTTTTACCTTTTGATTGGGTGACTAATCCTCCCCAAGATCTTGTTCATTGTCTTTTTAATCCCAGTTGTAATTGGCTGTTGTTCGTTTTATAAAATTCCCGCATTAAAAAAAAAAAAAAAAAAAGTGGATGGGATGGGAACTAACTGTTGTATAAATTGTGTATTTAAATAAAAAATAAACAGATTGATATTTCATAATTTAAATTACATATCAAGAAATCAACATGATGAATAAAAATACATATCAAACTAAAAGATAAAAATAAGACAAGGAAACAAACCGAAACATGTGCGATTAGGGCTGTGCAAAATACCGTCTAATCCGCTAAAACCGTACCGATCCGCATCAATCTGCACCGCACTAACCGCTAACCGCGGTTTAAACTTTAAAATTTATAATCCGCCAACAGAACCGCTCCATTCCGCTATAGTTAATACATATATTTTTTAACCTCTAATCAAACATAAATGTAAAAATAAGTGACGACAAGACAAGAAGAAAAATGAAGATCGAAGAAGAGCAGTGTGTACCTTAATGAGGGACGACGTCATATTATGTAAAATTATTTTGTGTTATATATCTAAAAAATATTATACAAATTAGTGTTAT